CCCCCCCCATTAACACATCTTTAGCATCCTCCATCCACCGGTCCTCCACTGTCGGCCCACATCTCTAGTGCAGCAGCAGGCTGGATGCAGTCTCCCCTGTGTGTGTTTTGTAACTCTGCCACATCAGGATGAGATGCGGAGTCTTCAGGCCATAATCTGATATCGTAGCCAGCTCACTGACTCTCATCCAGCTCCCAGCTGAGAGCCAAGGCCACGTCAGACCCGAGGGCCTCAACTGGACAGCAGTCACGATGAGCTCGGGTAGAGGAGGCTGAAGGTTGTTTCTCTGTATTAACTCCTTGATAAGGGAAGTGTGGAAATACACAAAAACCTTTTTAACTGTGGATTTTAAGGGACAAGGAAAAGAGAACATTATGCTTTTCATTCATATATATATATATTTGTTGTCTTCCCATGATTAGGGCTGAGGTATATGGAGCAAATCACAATACCTCCATATTGATACTGTAGGGCTGACTATTGGTGCTTTTAATAAATACTGACACAATGAGATTTTATGACTTAATAATCATCAGTAATGTGAACATGATGACTAAGTGGGTAAAGTTAAATAATAGAGCAGCTAGTCTGGTAAGTTCATAAAATGACATCACTCTACTGCAATGCAGCTTTTAAAACCTGAAAAAGACAAAACTTATGCCTTATTACGATATATATATCATAATATATCTAATATCTAACACGATGTCTAGTCTCATATGTCTAGTCTCTATATGTTGCCCAGCCCATGCCATAATGAGGCATTCTGACACTTTAACTTTACAATAATATTGTAATTATTTATGGTTATAACAGGTCAGTCCTTTATTGTAGAGTTGGTTGAATGACTTGAATGTTACGTAATATCAGAATCACAGTTTCAAATTATTGAAAAAAATAAATTTTTCTTCATCGTTCTGGCAAAAGATAAATCAGATTTGGTCGATACTGGTCCCAAAGAGAGAGCAGCCAGCGAAACGACTCCTAATAATTCTCTGAAGAAACATCTATGATCAGCCAGTTTGTACTTTAGAAACTGCAAGTTAACTATTAGTGCTGAACTATATGGCAAAATAATTAATTGCAGTATTTGTTTAGAACAACATTGCTACTGTATGCTATTTATTTTAGTCCCTGATCTCCTGTTTTGTTCACTACAGTCATAGTATGACGAGGTGCTATGATTGGCTACAGTCCACACAGGTGATCCCTCTGCGACGCTCTGATTGGTTAAATTATGTAAGATTATAAATGTCGGCCCACGAGCTGTATCATGACACCGTCATTATTCCTGAGGTCAAGCATCGTGATTGTACGCTGCTGTGATTAATGCGATGATCACATCTTTGTGAATATATCAGTGATGTAATAAGTGGTTAATGTTGTTTATTCTTTGTTAGTCCCACTTGTAGCCTTCCTGCGATGGCCTAGATTTCCCTTGGTGACATTAACTTGTATTTACACTAATCGAGCCCCTTTGAATTTGAATTTGAAGTCCCTCACTGAACAATAGCAGGTGTCTGCTGGTGTCCGTCTGGCTTTTCTGAGCGTACATGCAGTTTCCCCCTCGCTTTCAGCTGTTCCCCGTCAGTGTTCATACATCTCTGCTGAGTCAACTGTACATGTGGCCCGTAGCCGTGGCTCGCGTGGCAGTAAGTGAAGGATTGTATACGTACGCTGTGCTTGCAGCAGCTGAAATGGGTTACGGTTGTGATTAATCGCCCCATTCAACGTGTTCTTTCGACTGACGTGTGAATCAGTGCACCAGACTTATAGAAAAGTATCAAAGTGCCACTTTCAGCCAATGCAGCCTCCAAGCTAAAACAGCAGAGCCAGTATTCTTGCAGGATATTTGTTGCACATGGTGTTCCAGTGCTGTGGCCTAGAATCCATGCATGTCAAGGGAAACTTTCATGTTATTCTAATATTCACAGCCAACGCATCAGCATGGTGTTTCTGCTGCACCTGCATTCTTTTAACAATTATGTATTCAATTGGGAAAAGCTCTGCTTTGATAATCAAAATATATTCATTAAAAATATATCCGTTAATACCACTCAGTCCCCTTTTGTGGGAAATTTTTTTAGGAGGCCACGGGGAAGATGGGAGGAACCCAGAAAAGGGCAGAGGAGTAAGGGAATGTCAGGAGCGTAAAACAACGACAAAGCCAAGGAAAATGGAAAAAAAGACTGAGAGAAGCACGGAGAACGTAAAGGTCTTTGCAGCTGTGCCCATGGGGAGGGAGGGAGAGAGAGAGAGAGAGAGAGAGAGAATTCATTTTTCATCTGATGCGGTCGCATTCCCTCACCGACTACATCTGAAGCCATATTTCTCTGTGTTTACAAATGTATTTAACTGGATCAATATTTAAAAAAAATGAATGACGATGGTGACGGACTTTACTGTGCCATGATTAAAAAGGAACCTTGCTATATATAGCTAATAAATCAGTGTTGGCAAAAGCTTCTAAAACAGGTTTCTTGGCAAAAATCATTACAGAAGAGCTCAAGTCTTTAATCACATGCCATGATTATTAATAATTATACTACTACTACTATTACTACTACTAACCATATTAAGAGTAATACACAATATCTGTTGATTAATTTTGTGTTTGTTCTTTTGTTCATTCATAGTAGTGTGACCACAGACTGTACAGCGACCTATCAATCACAAGGTAGCCCGCCCTAAAGCTTCTGGTCTATTTTACTCTAAATGACTCGATAGGTTATTAAATAAGCATCATGCTGTATAGAAGAAGACAGAACTAGCGACTGAGAAGATAAACTCATATTTACATATGAGTAATCCTTTTTAGTCAAAGACAGAATTGTATGTTGTTGTTTTATGTTACTGAGGTAATAAATCAAGTGAGAAGTAGACTCATTTTCTCATCGACTTCCACACGATCAGACTTCTTTTTGCAACTGGAGGAGTCGCCCCCTGCTGGCCAGTAGAGAGAATGCACGTTTTAGGACACATCCCCAATGGCTTCACTCGGCTGAACCGGTGACAGAAACAAAGTGTACCGATAACGTTCCCTCTCTACCGACCTCAAACTGAAGGCAGTACCAGTCGGGTCAGCTGACAGCTGGTCCACGTCTCCTTACTCGCTCCCTGCAGTTCTCTATAATGCTGTCACAGTGTCAAAGCTTTACAATTCACCAGCTTGAGGTGTTCTTTGGCTCCGTTCGATCACAGCCTCTCCCCCGCTGCTTCTATCTTCTTCACATTGTGTCTCTCTGGCCAGGAATATCAGCCGGTGTCCAACAGACGAGGCAAAAATATCCTCCTCCGTTTACCATGTGGCTGTTTTCATAAGGAGCAACAAACAGCCGTGACTGCTCACTGTTGCATAGCTACACGATTGTGTGTCCTCGCCCACACGCACACACGCCCTGGCCAAGAATAATACTCCTCCTACACTTCCTGCCTGAGGAATCAATGCCAACGCTGGCACTTTTTTATGAATACACAAACATATCACGTGTTAACATCAGTATCAGTCATGTGCTCATGTGATGGCTGAACACTCTCATGTTGTGATGCTGGATGCAAATCAAAGAGGAACAAACATGCTTAATGCTGATTGCGTCTGTGTGTGTGTTTACTGGGCACAAGTGTGTCAGCATGAGTTTACATATAGCAGCGAGAGCCTCGGGAACACCAAGCTGTGAGCTGCCTCTGTTCTTCACAACACACACATTTACAGCCTCAACTTCAGCTCCAGTCCACAGTTGCCATTGTCAGATGAGCAAACTGATGGCTTGGTTGGCTCCAAGACTGGGCTGGAGATGGAGGGAGTGCTGCCAGGGCCTGGCACGTGGAACCATATTAGGCCCCGCCATTCACTGTGGATCATTTGAGTGATTCATTGGACTGGAAAAAAAGGGTTTCAAGTTTCTCTGTAAGTGCAATAACAGCGTCCCCCTGATGTAGGCTTATTAACGGGCTTCAACTTGTTCACCATTCTGCACGGCCATTTGGAGACACGTGATGTTGTGTACAGCTGACCTGCCCGGCGTGAAGTCAGTCATGCTGTTAGGGTGTTGATCTGTTGTATGTGTTTTGCAGACAGTGCTGGTGGTCCTGACCGTTCAGCAGGATGAGTGAGGCAGAGGGCCAGTTCTACAGCGTCCAGGTGGGAGACTCCACCTTCACCGTACTCAAGCGCTACGAGCAGCTCCGCGCCATCGGCTCCGGCGCCCAGGGCATCGTCTGGTGAGAGGCTGTAGCACCAGCACAGGGTGTTGTTAATACCCACAGTTCTGCCGAATTAGTTAAACACGGCAGTTGTTGCATGAGTGAAGTAAAGAGGTGGGCCTGTTTCACTAGAGACAGTTCTGTGACGGTAAGTCACACTGCTCACTGTCACACTGTCATGGCTTACTGTTATATGTAATGTTATGAGTAACATCTGTACGACGACGAGGGAAAATGTCTGCTGTGAGAAGGGCCTGTTCTGTCTGTCTGTCTGCCATCAATGCCTCGACATCCAGTTTCATTTAATTTCCCCGTGAGTAGCTTTAACATGAGTTTCATAAAGAGGTTAAATTTGATTGAATTTTTCCTGTTGATATGAATGACCCGTTGAACTTTGCTTTTGCACCACTGAATTATTGTTCCATGACATTATTATTACATTATTTTGATATTATCATGATTATATCAAGAAAGACGAATGGCCACATTTCCATGAAATTTGCTGCAGGCACTGTGGCCCTGATACAGTTTTTGTATACAGGCAGCTGACCTGTTGTCTGGTGCCACCATGAAGAGATGGTTCATAAGAAACATCAGTCTTATTGGTGGCATGAGCAATTTCAGGATGAGCCCCTTCACCTGTTTTAAGATAAAGGACAACAGACGGGTAGCTAGCAAGTCAGACGACCGCTTTGCTCTGCAGGATGCACCACGTGTTGTCTTCCTCGATGACCTTCGTCTCTGTCTGTGTGTGTGTGTGTGTGGTGTGTGTGTGTGTGTGTGTGTGTGTGTGAGCAGCTCTGCTCTAGATTCAGTCCTCGGGGTACCGGTGGCAGTGAAGAAGCTGTGTCGACCCTTCCAGAACCAGACGCACGCTAAGCGGGCCTACAGGGAGCTGGTGCTGCTAAAATGTGTCGGCCACAAAAATGTAAGGCTTGAATTTAAAGGTTGACGTGTTTTTAAAGTCTGTCTTCATAGAAAGCAGTAATCAGGTGCACGTATGTTCTTTGAAGCAGCTCGGTCTAATCAAACCTGCTGATACCGGCCATTACCAGACCCACCGTCCTCATTCTGTTTCATATTGGTTTAAAGCTTATGTAAGACTTTAGTAGTCTCAGTTACACAAGTGTGTATCAGCCACAGTTAGTGTTTGTAATGTCCTCCTTGTGTTTCCTCTGGAGAGTTTATTTGTGCTGAGCTGCAATGGAGGCATAGAAACACAAAGAGTGGATTCTGGACTGAAAACACTAACTTTGGGAAATACACACTTGACTTGATTTACTCAGACTGCTGAACTCCCGCAGTAGCCTCAGCTAAAGTTCAGAATGTATTGTTGCACAGAACAAGGACGTACAGCCTATTGCAAGCTTGTTGACAATTGTTCTAGAAACACTTTTTATGTCAATCCCTACCCTCTGGAATATGTGCTGTATTCCTGATACCGATAAATAAAGTACTGTATTATGACATGATAAAGCAGTTAAACCTTTTTGTATTTCATAAACTATGCAGGGCAGTTAAAAGCTGCTTGCATTGCAATTAAAATGTAACTTATCCTCACATTTTCTCATGTATTGTTTCATGAGACACTTCTGATACAGTAGGACTGGGATATGACTGGAAGATTGTCTGTTGTTCTCAGAAATATTGAAAGCCTGTACAAACTTAAGAAGAAGAGAGGTTCAGCTTGCTGCAATGCCTTGCTCAGACAAACCCACTTGAGCGCTCTGTCCTCGGTTGGCTAGCGCTCCACAGTGGAGTGGATGTAGATGTGAGAGTAATTGAGTGGACTAACGGCCTGTCTCTCTGCCTGCAGATCATCCGTCTGATCAATGTGTTCACGCCTCAGAAGTCCCTGGAGGAATTCCAGGACCTGTGAGTGGCAGTAGAGGTTTCCACTCTGTGCTTTCTGTCGGATTCAGCGATTTTAACATTTCACTATCGTCCCTCTATTTACAAGTCACACTCTCGTATTGCACCGTGTTGCCTTTCTGTGCTCCTTCTGCTTCTTTGCGTTCGACACTGTTCTTGTATGAACTCCTTTACTCAAAGCTCTTATCTCCTCCCCTTTAGGTACCTTGTGATGGAGCTGATGGATGCCAGCCTCTGCCAGGTGATCCACATGGACCTGGACCATGAGCGGATGTCCTACCTGCTCTACCAGATCCTCTGTGGCATCAGGCACCTGCACTCTGCCGGCATCATCCACAGGGTAACAGTGTGCTGTGGGCTATACACAGCCTGTAACCACACCCAACAATGATGTCACAGTGTACTGGCACGCCCTGGAGAACACCTCCACATCACTGTGGTCATGTCTTTGATTCTACAATTTCATTCCTAACTGTGGAAGAATGTGGATGTCACAGTTTTCTCCAAAATAACATAATAGTCATCCATTCTTTTCTTTCTCCCGCTACCACCTGTATCAAAATACATACCTGAAGGGTTATGTTTCTGCGTGTGCATGTTTCTGTATTTATAGATTGTCTCTCCCCTCAGGACCTGAAGCCCAGTAACATTGTGGTGAAGTCGGATTGCACTTTAAAGATCTTGGATTTTGGCCTGGCTCGGACGGCCTGCACTAACTTCATGATGACTCCCTACGTGGTGACCAGATACTACCGCGCCCCCGAGGTCATACTGGGCATGAAGTATAAGGAGAATGGTAAGGACGGCCACGCACCAGTCTAACAACAGTTTTACAAGTTTTAAAGATCTCTAAAATAAATACAACTCCACCAGCACTGCTCTGTGCTTTACAATCATTGTCTAAATCAACAAAGGTACTGTGATCATTTGATGAACATGACATTAGATACCAATAAGTAATATGTTCATGTGTTGAACTGTTCAGAAATGATAAAGGCTAAAACATGAAAGTGGCTCCTCCCTGGAACTCTTCATGTCCTTAATGGACCACCAGCTCAACAAAGAGCCATCGTAGTTAATGAACATTAACTTATCATACAGGCTGTTAGGAATATCAGTATCAGTCCGAGCACCACAGGGGCTGGAGACTGCTTGGAACGGATTATTCATTTTACATTTTTGATATTGTGTTGTTTAAGTCCATTTTACATAAACTCTAGTAAATCAACATTTGTTTTGCTGTTTAGTCTTAGGACATTCAAAAAGGCACCAAAAATGACCATCTCATAATCAACTGATCTGAAGTTCATTGTCAATTTATTAATTCTCATAGACCTGCGTTATAGTGTAATTCAGCCTCATTCCTCATCTTTCTCTTCTCTGACGTCCATTAAAGGCGTAAAGGAGGCAAGTCTACAATAAGCCCATTTTGCAATAAAGTCCCCACTAAAGAGAAACCTAAAAGTGTCAGTTTGTGCTACTTAGTACATTTTTATAACGTGTTTGTCTACAAAACACAGTGGTGTTGTTTGTATCTTTTCTAAACTAGCTCAACTACAAGGTGATGCATGAAACATGAAGCATCACATAACGGTAGGATTAGAAACAGGAAGTGGTCGGAAGCCTTGTCAGATTTTTATTTCGTCTGGCCTAACAGGAAGTGTTTTTGCCCAGTCCAGAGTGCAACTATCCCGTTAAAGCAGTCCCAATGAATAGTGTAACCTGTCCACCGTCTAAATTCATGATGAGACTCCACCTTTAGTGGTTTGTCTGATCCGGAGACGTTAACGGAGCACACAGACCTCTTTTAGCTTCAGTGAAACTGAGCAAAGACGGGAGTTAATGGCCGTCTGCCACCCATTGCACACTCTAAAGCAAAGTGTCAACTCACCCAGAGTGCACGCATCCTACTCTGCACACAGGCGAAGTGATGAAGAGAGCAACAGCTGTGTAAACTGATAAGAGGAGCTGCAGAGGCCTGCTTTCCAGAGAGAGAGAGAGGGAGAGGGGGAGAAAGCCAGCCTTAAGATAAAGATGATGAAAGCATCAGGCCACGGCACCGCTAGAGGATGGACCAGAAATAACCAGAGCTGGTGTTCTGCATTTTAACGTTTGTCATTCAAATTCAAACCACGGAGCATGTTGTCATGCTGCCATTTTACTGTATATTTAGCATTATATGATGCGGTTGATGTTATGTGATCGGTATTTCATAGTTGATGTTTGCTTGTGCTCTCTATTCCCAGTGGACATCTGGTCAGTGGGGTGCATCATGGGAGAGATGGTAAAGGGCGGCGTCATCTTCCAGGGCACGGACCGTATCCTTCAGCGCTCTCTCTGTCGTTGTCCCACTTCTTCCATCTTTCACGTTCCTGTCTCATAGTTCTTCCAGCACGCTTTCCCGCTTACTAAACACAATCTGTAGAATAGCACCACTCAAGATTTCCAGCACACCCCAATTTAATCGGAGCGCTGCGTGTGTTTCCTGCCCTCTTCAATGATTATGAATCTGTGGAGTTGTTTTTCAGATCGCCATAATCCCTTTAATTGATACCGGGAATCAAATTGAAGCAATTCAAGCCATTTACATTTATATTGGCCGTTTCTCTGTTTCTAATGGGTTCAGTCACCTCTTCGCTCACCGGCTCCTTTCAGTGGCGCCGACCATTAACACCTGAGAGGCTGAGAATGGGTACAGGGCACCGTGCGATCCTCGGATAGATTGCTTTTCAGCGGGGGAAGTAACAGCCTTTTACTGCAGTTGTGAGTCAGCGGGCCCGCTGAATGCGCATATCTTTATTTTTGTGGTTTTTAAATGTCTTAACGACCATTGGGTAGATTGTCATGACGTTTAGTACTTTCATGTTTCCCTCTGGATGAAATGTGATCGCTTTGGTAATCCAAGCACCATCGTCAGGTTTCACTTTGTCCAATACTTTGTTTTATGACCAAATAACTTTAAAACTAACAACATTGCCACCGACCTCAACTCTGGGTTGTGTTTTCTGCTAATGGGCAAATGTTAGCATTACATTGCTGATGTTAGCATTAAGCTCAAAGCACCACTGTGCCTAAGTACAGTTTCACATATCCGCTTCCATGACTGTCGTTTTCTTTGGATATTTATATACGTTATTCATAGAGCGTCAATTTCATGTGATTAGCTCTTGATTCAATGCCTTAATCGAATCTTCCTCTCATCTGCTGACGCATGAACATACCCATAATGCAGCTGAGTTCTCCATAACGAGCGTGCTCTGCAGACATCGACCAGTGGAATAAGGTGATTGAGGTTCTGGGCACGCCCAGTCAGGAGTTTATGAACCGGCTGATGGAGACGGTGAGGAACTACGTGATGAACAAGCCGCAGTATCCCGGTGTCAGCTTTGCCGAGCTCTTCCCCGACTGGGCCTTTCCTTCTGACTCCGAACACGACAAGCTGAAGAGTAAGAAACGTTACCTTCAAATGCATGTCGTTTTGTTTTTCCTTAGCTGTCAAATTTGATGGTTTTTAAATCTCTTACCGAGGACGCTGCTATAACACAGATTGTGGTCAAAGAAAGGCTTTTTTTCAACATAACTACAGGGCCACAGGCTGAAGACTGGATCCCTGATACGAGTTGAAAGGATGAGCATGTAGCTCAAAAGTCTTTCTGTGGCATTTAGAGTTAGGACTCACATCACCCAAACAGGAGAACAGAACAAAACTTGACATTTCCAGAGATGTTGCCCTACTCCCCCTCCCCCGCAAGGGGAAGTAATCAGTTCGCATAAAGACAGCTGAAATGAAGTGATGTCATGGGCCTGTTTCCACAGTAACACTACCCTTTCCTCTGTCGCCATCACAGCAGGTCAAGCACGGGACCTGCTGTCCAAAATGCTGGTCGTTGATCCCGAATGCCGCATCTCCGTGGAAGAAGCCCTCAATCACCCGTACATACACGTGTGGTACGACCCCGGAGAGGCCGACGCGGTGAGGATGCGCTGCGTTCGCTCTATCAGTGCAGAGGCTGGCTGCGTGGGAACGCGCTGATTTATGTGTTTCTGTTTTGTTTCACAGCCTCCTCCCCAGATTTCAGATAAACAGCTGGAAGAGAGGGAGCACTCCATCGAGCAGTGGAAAGGTGGGATGCACTGCCCTCTAGGGAAGCCCATCAGCAGTGCAGCTTAACCTCTTTACAGGAAGCCAAACCGTCCATGTCTGTATGCAGATATGCTGTGCAAAGCATTCAGAGTTAAAGCTAATAATCACCATTGTCTGTGTGACACAACACTGCCAAAGTATTCAGCAAACACACAATAGGACAAATTAAGAGCAATTGTTTTGATAGAATGACCGCAGATCGTTCATTCGCTACAAATTCCTGAATCTGAATCTCCTGTACCTTTAAACACAATGACTGCGCTCCATTGTCTGCTTCTCTACAGAACTCATCTATGACGAGGTGATTGATTGGGAAGAGAGGAACAAGAATGGACTGATGAAAGAAGACTGTTCAGGTACAAATATTCATAATCTTCATTCATTTTCTGCAATATTGGACACCAGGCTGCTATAAGGAGAGGTTTTAGCTTTAACTTCATACTAATGTGCTGAAATATGTCATTGGGGTCACGGCTGTCCCATGAAAAATGTATAGGAAGTGCTCAGTTACTCTAAATATGACCTCAGCTTTGTTTATCTCGTGTTTCCCTCCTGTTGTGCGTGTCCCGTATCAGATCTGGTGTCGGGTTCGGCCTCCGCATCCTCATCAGCCAACGACATCTCGTCCATGTCCACGGAGCACACCGTGGCCTCGGACACAGACAGCAGCAGCATCGACACACTGACGGGACCGCTGGACGAGAGTCAGTGAACACAGTCCATGGCCACATCGTTCTGCCTGCCTCTCCGATCTGCAATATCCAGATATCAATCCGCCATCACCTTCCTTTCACTCCCCCCTCATTTTCCGATCTTTTGTTTCTGTTCTGTGTTTTTCTTCTTTCCTCTTCTGAATAGGTCTATTTTTCTATTTTCTTCCTGTTTATGATCTCGTTCAACATCCTAGATGTCTAAGCTGTCTATTGGGTTAAAGGTTTATCTTCCTCTTCTTTGTGGATATTGTTTGCCTTGATCGAGTATATATGATGTATGCATCCATATTGGCTTCCAGGTTGCCAGGAGTAGGCGGGGGGAATTGTTGTTCGTTCTGTATGCCTGTGTTTTAATAGTTTTATTTTTTTAGCGAAGATTATCTTGAGACCAGAGGTCATCAAATTAGAACAGACACGCACTGAAAATAGACCACAGCTGCTGTCACGCATGTTACGCCAATACGAACAAAAGCTTACCGTAAGTCCGCGTGAAGAGGATCAAACACTCGTCCAAAGTTTGACCGGTCCTCTAGCGAGCTGGCAGTGTTACAGATCACAGTGGGGCTTTCTGCGCCGCTCTTTAATCCGTTGCCTTGAGTGATGTGGAAGTTGAGATGTTCCTCCTGACAGCCGGGGGAAGCTGTGGTTGCAGTTACATTTTTTTATTTCCTGATATAATGTACTGTATGTAAAGATCATAGTGGCTGTTGACCCTGTCATTATAAATGGATAAAGTGTGCTTGTTTTGTTCAACATTTCTGTAGAGCTGTATATTGCATCCGCATTGGACATAAGGTACCGACTAACAATGTGTGTTTCAAAACAATATCACAATCCTGTAAATTTGGGAGAGGCAAAAAAAAAAAAAAGGATACATGTGGTTATTTATTTTTGTGTTCTTGCAAAAATGTTGCACACAATCACATTGCTGCCCGTGTACAAGAGGCCTCTTGTCTGTTCTAAACCATTCCATTCGTACTGGAGCAGTCACAAACACCATCAAGAATCAGACATCCTGTAGATAAAGGCAGTACGACACACATAATGGTGTTCAACTTGCATGACGGCGTTAAAGATGCCAATACGATACCGTAGTTCTCGTTATACAGAGAAATCCGTTCAGGTCCGTTCTTTTATTACAGTACCTTGATGTCCTTGGTTCTGAAAGCCTGTTTGATGCAGATGTGTTTTTTTTGTTTTTTTTTGCCTTGTGAGCATTGTGTGTGTGTGTGTGTGTGTGTGTGTGTCTTATCAAAATGTACTGTGCAGCGCTCTCATTATCTCCTTTGAATCGTCCTTAAAGACAGCAGTCGCCCGGTTGTAAGGGCCGAGTCTATGGAGGAAGTCGTCCCCTCAACAAAGAGCAAACGTGCGGTTTAAAAAGGAGGATGTGTGGAGTCCTGGATGGAAATCTGCACCTTTGGAACTCCAGATGGAAACTTAAAGATGAGAGAAATGGACTGTGGAGCTGCTTTTTTGCAGAACTGATTGCACATTGCGATGGACATGCAGAGATATGACACGATGGCGTCACTGGGGTTTTAAATGTTGCACACTATGCTTTTTCGTTTTTAATAACGTGACCTTATTTCAGTCATGCCTTTAAACGACCGATGGAGCGGCAATTTCACTCTCACAACTCTTATCAGAGACGGACTGAGCACCACAGTGCTCGGACCTCCTTACCACCATTACTGTGTTGTAAAAACAAATCGCTTCATTGTACACACTGAGCATCTCACGTTTCTGTTCAGTTCATTTCTCCTTTTATTTTCAGAGATGTCCTGTGCGACTGCAATGACCACAATATAATCACCCGGCCAACATCTTTTCTCCTCCCGTAACTAATAAAGTGGACATCGGTGATACGTTTTGTATGTTTCTCAGATTCTTAATGAAAAAATAACTGTACATCACTCTAAAGGAACTATTCTGCAAAGATTGTGTCAAACTACTATACAGCACTACAGTTTAAAGACTAATCAGTCTTGTCCTTCTCTTTGCACACTGTTCATATCGTCACACACACTTCATGTATTCTTCTCTCAAAAGCTCTTGACGATGTACTCCGTCTTCTTGGCCTCATTGTTGAGCTCTCCGAAGGTGTCGAAGAACTGCTCCATCTCCTTCTGCAGAGTTGCATTGCGTAGTTCTGCGGCGGCCCGGGTCCTTTCGGACTCCGCCATCTTGTCCTGGACGCCCTGGTACCAGTGCCGCTGCTGCGTTAGGTTTGTTTTCAACCGAACCACCTCTACCTGCAGCTCTGCGTTTCTTTGCTCTAGGCTGGTGGTAGAGACGAGAGAAAGACAAGAATATCAAAATGGATGTGTATACTGCAGGGGGAGAGATCAGTGATGTATTTGATGGTTAATCTGTAGCATCTGTGTTGATTGTTTGGTTTGATGCCTGATACAGTTGGAAAAGGCAGAACAGGTGGCTTACACTATATCTATTTCCTTCCTGTACTCTATGTTAAGCTATTAGAATTGCTGGTTTCCTCTTGTCCGTGCCAACCAGTAGTGACCTTACACTGAGACTTGCTCTATCTATATCGGTAATAAATGAGGCATGTGTTGTGTCTAGGTCAGCAGCATGGCCCCTTAAATTAGCTCTCTTTCCAGTGGCATGAGCAGTTTCTGTAGGTCAGCCACATGAGATGTGCTTTTTATCTATTAACTTTGTGAATTTGTGTTTTTGGTCAGTGGGGGGAAAAAAAGGTGGCCCATCCAAGTAATTAACATAATACGTTGAGATCTCCACGGTAGACTGAGAACACACAAACAGAAGTGGTTAAACACGATGGAAATAATTAGGACTTAATGATTCGTAATGATCTTAGTACTGCTTATGTTGGGACATTTTAAAGGGAACTAAAAGCAGTTGTGTGTGCGCTTTGAACCAAACAGGATGTAGGGTGACGCTCGGGGTCAACTGAATGAACTGAGCAGCACAGCTGAGTGGACAAACACAGTTTCTGGGCCTGGGAACATTGTGTCACCCTCCACTGGAAATACACTCAGGGCTGGGAAAATCCCACAGGCGAGTCAGTGAACTAAAAGTGTGTCACTGAAGCCGACAGCATAAGCACATTCAATTTAGGACAATTCTTTCTACACGCGTGCCTAATCTCTGCAACGTGATTGTGTGTGCTGTGTAGTTTGAAATGGAAATGCAAGACAAAAATGTACATTACCTGAGTATTCGTGCCTCGTACTCCTCCCTCTGTCTGACTATTTGCTGTTGGAGGCTAGTGAGGAGGCTGCGAAGGGCGCTGGCGGAGGGGTCTGCCAGGGGCACAGGAGGGGGCACCCTGGGAGACCAGGATGGCTGCTCTGGGTGCTGGGCGTCAGCTGGGGGCCACAGAACCTTGCACTCAGTTTGAGATAGTTGAGGGGAACTTGCTGTAAGATGTTGTTGGGGGGGCGACAGCGGGAGCTGCTTGAATCCACACGATCCTGAGTCCAGCTCTGGGTCCTGTTCACGCTTCTTGTCTTGGTCTGGATTTTGCTGCTGGATTCTGGTGCTCTTGTCTTCACTCGCTCCCTCGCCGTCCATCAGTCCCTGGGGGGCCCGTGCTTGGCACATCTGCCCCTGCCAGTGCTCCTCGCAGCTTGTTTCCATGTCAAAGACCTCTTGCAGGCTGTCGGGAGTGGCAGCGTTGGGGAGGTTATCATACAGAGAGAGAGCACTACTGTGCTCCTCGCTCTGGTTCAGATGAGCCCTGTCCTCGGCTCCCCAGCTACCTCCCCATTCTCCTGCTCTCCCTCCCTCTCTTACTTTGTTTATCATGCATGGACCCAGCTCTGCTCCCCAGTCCTGTCTTCCCAGGCCTCCTCTCCAGCTGCAGTAGCTATGATCTGGCCAAGCGCCAGCCCCTCTTCCCCCACCGACCAGAATGGGAACCTCACTCACAACTGGAGCCAGACCAGGCAGAGGGCTATAGGGGCCTGGGAGTCTGGTTACAGCAGTGCACACAACCCTACCCTCCATTTCCTTTGCCCTAGCCCTCCCTCGCTGGGCAAAGGGTGGGCAGTTGTCGTACAGGGGTTCCATGGAGCAGGAGCTGGCTGTGGTGGGGGTCTCAGTAGTAACACAGTGCAGCTCCATGATTCAACCAGGCACATGTGGGTGCTGAGAGCCTTTAGATAACTGCCTGGCCAGCCTCTTGTCTGCTGCAACTTGGGATTCAAGCCTTGGGTTGTAGATTTGTGAGCGTGCTATGGAGCCTCCCCTGTGCTGATGTGACGTGGGGAGAGGAAGGTGTAGGAGCCCTCCTCCCCTTTGACTGGCTGTGCCCTTGAAGCTGCTGGCTAATGGCAGACAGGTTGTAGCCTGTGTGTATATGTGTATGTGTGTGTGTGTGTGTGTCTTTAAGCAGGACTGACATCAGCTGTTACTTTAGCAGAGCTTCTGAGGGAGGGACCAGGGTGTAATATAGTCTGGCTCATTCCTAAAGACAGTCACACATAACTGGAACCACAGAAATAGACAGTGGCCATGGGCACAAAGTGTAAAGCACACACAATGAACCCCATAATCTGCACTCCATATTTGTCGAAAAACACATAAAGCCGCAGACTTAAAGACTGGATACAACACAGAACCCTAACCCAGTGATTACTCCTGATACTGCTTCAATGGGACTTTTACCTTAGCTGGCTCATTGATTCTCCTTCTCTGTTTAATGCACTGCGTCGACATTAACACTGTGGGATGCGTTATTGCAGCGTTAACAGCCAAGTGCTTGTACTGTAGACAGAGTTCACTCCACAGAATCTGCTGCAGTGCGTTCATCACTTATCTTTTGAGAGCCACTCTGCAATTAAACCAGTGAAATCCTGTCAGCAACAGGACCCAGGTGACAATTCATATCGTGTCGCCTGGTGTTATATAATCACAGAGGTTGCGGATTTAAGCCACACTGTGTGGCAGAGAGGAAAGTCTCATGTTTTTGTAGGGTTTTTTTCAGGGGTGCAAGTGAAGGACATAAATGGATGAAAGGAGGATTCTGCAGAAGTGAGAGGAGAAATAACAGAGAGACACTCACTAATCCTCACTGGTATCGTGGTCAGTGTTTATTAATACCACAAGGTGGAGCTATAGACAACATAATGACAAGCCTCTACCATAAATGGGCGGTGCACCTTGAATCACTTGAGATATTTTGAAGACAAGGATGACGATTCAGAACTATACTATTCCCATAAATATGATTTGATGTGGCGCTCAAATGTAACTTCAAGGGAACATCGTAGTCTTTGCATCTGTCTGCCATGCATTAGTTCACATGTTGATGTTTTATGCATTTTGTTTCTTTTTTGTGCATTTTTGAGTTGTCGAGTTGGTTGGTTTTTTAGAGCCTCAGATGAGGCCTATTGATCAAAGAGCCCAGTGAAGAAGTCCCTCATCAGTGTGATGCAACGGTGGAACTATCAAAGGCACTTCCTCTTGAACAGAGGAAACATCTGTACAGGCACTTTGTCCTTAAATCCCCTCCAGTCAAACGGCTGCACAGAGCCTACAGGAAGTGGCGTCCCTCAAACCGTTGTTGAACCACACGTGCTGCCCATAAGTGCTTCATTTTGAGAGCGTTAATTTACTCAAACATAACAGAGCACAGTGTTCCACGACAGCCCGCGATGCTTCACAAAGCAAGGGTGCGCTTGCAAACTTCATTTGTCAGTTGTCCGTCAACGCTGATAAAACTCCCCTCTTGCCTGGCCTATGTAAATCACCCTGCATCCTTCAAGGCTGCACAGACCAAGGAGGAATCACGATCTGTTTCTACACGCACATTGCAGGATTTAAATGTGAGCAGAGTTTCCTCCATCCTCAATTGATGCAGGGAGATGCTTTTGGAATATGAGAAAAGTGTTCGCGCTCAAGGTGAGACCCTGAGGTATCCCTTCTCTAAGACAACAACCAGCTGTAATACCACACACATGCTTCAATCTCGTTCATGTCCCTCTGAGGCTTTGCCCTGACCTCCAGCTGTCATCCAACACACGATGGACGACCTCGCCGTCTTTACCGCCTGTTGACTTATCACAGCTGGATCGTGCACCACGCAGAGGTTAAGCTTCCTCCAGGACCCCTCTTCTCCCCGACCCTCCCTTCTAATTCGTCCTCCTCCACTTCCTGTACAAGTGCGTAGTTGTTTGTAGCCATGACGACAGAATCCATGGCAACACAGATCCCCATGGTTCTAAATAATAAAGGTGGATGGATGAAGGAAGAGGGGGGGAGGAAGGGCTCAGTGGCTACATAGAGTCCAGGATACTAATTCATCAGTGGCTAAACAACTAACAAAGAACAGGAAAGAGTGTGGTGGGTAGAGGAGAGACGAGGAGGCGGGCAGATAGGCAGCAATGCACCTTCAAGGAGGGAAACAGCAGAGTTTGTCTGTAGTGCGATGGGGTATTCCTGCATGCAGGTGTGTTTTGGAGAGATTAACATCCCTGCCTCTCTTTCCTCTGATCGCCAACCTCTGTGTGTGAGTGTGTGTGCTTTAAAGCTTTAAAGCTGCAGTGCTACCTGAGCAGATTGTATCCCGCCTCTTTGCGGTTTTATTAAGACAACCATGGTTTCCTATTCAGTCAGCTCAGTAGCTCTCACTGAAGGAGTTAAGACGTTAACAATGTTATAAGTGTGTTGCTTTGTAGTGCGGAGCATTTATTCTGTTTTTTTATTCCCATATTTTGAGTTTCACTGACTAACATAGTGGAAAGTATATTTACTCAAGTACTTTAGGTTTCTGTTACTTTACGTTACTTTATAATCTATTCCATTACATTTCAGACACACTTTTTATATCTAACACAGAGAGGCGTTACGCACACTTTTACTTTTGATACTTAACATATCATTTAGCATTTTTTGCTAATAGTGAAGTATAATTTTCTATGCAATTTTGGAGTACTTTTATAGTGTGGTATTGCTACTTTTACAAAATGATCCCATAAATGATTTGGATATTTGCTCCATTGAGCATAAATTCATTTGTTTAGTTAACGAAATAATCTCCTTCACGGTCCATCGAGTAAGTCTTCTGAAGTTTAGTTGATTTTCATAGTATTTAATTTACACATTATTGTTTCAATGTACTTAATATACGTAGCGCAGTAGATCAGAATATTAAGTGATACTGTGGGCTTCACTTTTTCTATGTATGAAGCAGATTTTATACAGAATGAAATTCATAATAAGGTTATGAATCCACAGTGATGTGTAGCTCCATTTCTAGTAACACCACATATTCATGATGCATGTATGCATCTGCACTGGTTATTCAGGCCCTCTGTGTTATTCATAAACTTTCTTCTCATGTCCAGAATAGAACTCAGACTCTGTTGAACAGTATCATAACTCTTCAAGCCAGAAAGCGTCGGTGCCTCGTTCTCATCCATTTTCAGCGGTTGTCTGTTTGATTCAAGGTTTCATTCAAAACTGTGGATTATTTGAGAACACGAACACTGTCTCAAGGCAACACGAGGCACTCACCCGCATGCATAAACCCTCCTGCGCCGTCTCAAACAATCCCACGTTCATTTACACATTGCAGATGTGCGTCACTGGTATCCATGTGTGGGTAGGTTATGTTGCTGCTATGCTAAATTGGATTAAATTGCTTTTTAAAGCCATCCCTCCACTATAAGCATCCTCAGTTAAACCCCTGCACATGTTAACTTGTGTCACGTTCACGCCTGTGCGTGAGTGTCCACAGGCTCTACAGTTTCATTATAGCTCATATCGTTAACATTTTAATTAGATAGCTCTTACTATCCTCTCCTGAGGCAGATGTGTGATGTGATTATCTACCCACTAATTTGAATGTAATACATTTGTTTGCAGGATTTATTTTTTTCTCATCATGGAGCATCACACATTTTGACAGTCAATTAACAGACCTGGTAGAGTTACCATGGGAACAACTTATTTTGGAGTAGACAGGCTGGGAGGAGCAACACCTTTAACAACCAACCTGTCTGTCTGACTGACTTCTGCCCCGAACAACTGATGCATGTGTTATGTGTACATATGCAACCGCCACTTTGCATCACACAGCTGTCGTCCCGGAGTGCGGTGAGACAGATGTTCACTCTACTCGAGCCGAAAATGAAATAAAGGGAAAGGGAATTTCAGTGGAAATCCCTTTTGAGCCGGCATGTTATTAGAGTGTCCTTCTGTCAGATTCCTGGGTGGGCAGACGAAGAGGAAATCTGTAGAGTAAAAGCAATCACACAGATATTTTTGGACAGATGCAGAGGAGGGAGAAGCAAAATGATGGAAATAAACGAGGAGGGGAAGAGGAAGAGACAAAGAAAACACAGTAAAAGTTCAATGTGGAGCAACTGAAGAGAGTGAAGCTTAGCAGACAAGGAAACTAATTAAAAGCTAAGGGGGATGCAAATATATGTGCGAGTAGAAAGAGCACAGAACAGCACACAGGCCTGGAGACGGATGGTGACAAAGAAAAATGCTGCCGATTTGATGACTTATTCAGGGTTACTCCAGAGCTTTCTTCCAAGGACCTCTTTGAGAAGGAGCATGTTTGAAGTGTCTGCATATGCGATAGTCCGTCTGTCAGTAGGAGGTGAAGCAGGAGGTGGAAGAACAGACAGAAAAGCAGATACAGAGTGTGTGGAGGTGAGATAGCGAGGGAGGAAGAAGAAGGGGTGGATTGCTGGAAATAGAGAGGACGTGAGTGAGGAAGACAGCATATCAACGCGCTCCTCGACACTGTGGAGGCCTCAGTAGGCATTGGCAAGGCTGGAGCCTGAAACCGGGTATTTAAGAGGCTAAATCTCTCACACTTGATTCGTGCAGAAAATAAATGCCAAAGGAAGAAGAAGAGAGAAAAATGGGAGAGGAAATGCTCTTATATAAATACAAAAGGAAGCAATGGAACAAAGAGAAAGGAAGGGAGCGGCATGGGAATTTAGAGCGGGAAGCAGCAAATCAATAATATTAAAAACACAATGAAAAGAAAACAGCAACATGAAAAATAATGTCTGTAAAAGCTGTGAATTT